AAAGTATTCTTGGACAGCCTCACAAGTTCTATCCATTGCTCTGGTTAGTTTTTTCCATATCTGTCTTTGTTTTGGTGATAGACTTTGTAATTCGCCAAACTCCATCTCCATTGAAACCTCTGTCATTCTAGTTAGCAGATAGTTTATTTTTCTTGGCGTTTTCATTTTAGCCTCCTTTAGTTTTTGTTCATTAGATTTAACATATTATCTATAAACCTATTTGCTTCATCACAAGTTTCAAAAGTATCTATAACCTTATTTCCATCTTCCATATCTACCACATCATATTTGTTTTTATTATATATTGCTCGATACTTGACATAGTTCCAGGTTATAAATTTGATACAAAACCCATATTCTTCAGTCAAACTATTCATCAAAGCTTCTTCAACCCACTCATCATCTAACTCTTCTAAAGTCGTATTCTCTTCATAGTCTTCCAAGGTTAGTTCAACAGAGTGTAGTGTAGTTGGTAATTCTTCATCAAACTCTGGATAATCTTCTAAGTCTTCCAAATCCCAATCTATATTTTCCACATCTACGAATACTGTTTTGCTCATTTTATTCCTCCTCATCTTCATCATCTCTAGGCGGGTCAACATCATAGCAAGAAAAAGTCTCACCATCTGAACAACCTTCCATATAGATTCCGCTTCCACCTTCTTCACAATCCCAATCAAACTGAACACCTAACTCAGCCATTTTATGTAAGACTGGTTCAGGTGGCGCCCAAGCAGTATCAAATTGTAAATAAAAGGGTTCGTTGTTTTTTATTGCCTCATCTAAATTGTCTAAATCGCAATCGTTATGAGCCAAATCCCACTTAGTCCCCCAGTTATTACAATCCCATTCATACCAATCATTAGGCTTCACCCCTGTTCTCTCAGTTTCTTTTGCCATCCATTCTTTAGCATATAAAAAGTCTATCACCCCATCACGAAAGAAATCATTATCCGGTTCTTTATTTAATCTTTCTTTAGTTATTCCGGCTTCTCTCATTAGTTTTTCATCACTTTCGCTCATATTCAAGGCGTTATAGAGTTTCATATGTTCAGGCTGAGGTATAATGTTATCAAAGCAAAAGTTCCCATTCTTTATACATTTCTCTTTGAACACTTCTGGATTTGAGATTGTCATATGATTTTCACACCAGTTTGGCATATTATCCTCCTTTATTTATATTATCGTTGTTCATTAGTTAAGAGTCCCAATAACACTTCCCCATTCTCTTCAACCAATCTCGCAGCCGTCAATAAATCATCCGTCCCCCAAAAATCTATATGTAAGTCTTGTAAGTTTCTGGAGGCCACACAAGTAAAGAAGGCTACATCTGGATTATTGTTTATTTTCTGCGCTACTTTGAATAACTTATACTTATCTTCTTTATCCAACTTAGCATCAAAACCAATAAACTCTGGATACATCTCCCTTGCTACTTTTGCTCCCTCGCCCGTTAGCATTTTATCAAGTTTAGGATTATCAATTATACAACAAGGGATTTGAAAGTGTTGTTCTTTATTGTAATTCTTCAACAGTTCTTCTTTATTTGGTTTCATTTTCTACTCCTTTTGTTATAAAACCTTTGACTAATTTACGACCCCACAACTTAAATTCTACTCGCAAGTCTGTATCAACCGCTCGTAAAACTTTTTGTATCTTGGGTGTCATAGCATATTTTACAAGTTTCTCTAAGTCTGCTTCTATCTCTTCTTGTCTTCCACGCATTCCGCCATAAAGACTAAATTCAAATGAGATAGTTATGACCTTTTTGCTTGTGTTTAAGTCTATTCCGCGCTGAACAAAGATTTCATTACTTCTGTTTTGTTCATCACGCTTAGTTAGATTATTCCCATACCAATAAAAAGGCTCTAATACATCACGCAACTTATCACGAATCAAAGTATAATCGCTCAAAGTCTTGTCGGTATCCATCATTTTCATATCACTAACCTTGACCCTGAATATACTATACTGACCACCCATACTGCCTTTTCTATAAGCATTCTTTAAAACTTCTTGCGCTTCACTATAATCACAAGTCGCAGAACGATAATCCCACAATCTAAACCCTACATTATATACATTATCAAATCTGCCAACTAAATATACATAGTCAATCTTATCCATCTTATTCTCCTATTGTTTTTATATAATTATTGAAACCACCACACAACAAAATCATATTCTTAAACTCTTCATCACCATACACACTTATCATTCCGCTTGATGTATTGTAATGAAATAGTTGTATATGTTCGTTGTTTTTCACCCAGTCCAATAACTTATACCACACATCACAGCTCGGCATAACAAACTCTTCTTTATGCCAATCTATAACACCCTCACCAATTACGGCTTCAAGTATCTGTATTCCTCCCCACGCTAAATACTTTCCACCTGCTGCATCGCAAAACACAGCACTAACTGGCACATCTTTTTCTTCTAGTATTTTTATAATTTCTTCTCTGGTCATAATTCAACCTCCTTTATTTATTATTTACTACTTCTAAAAACTTATGCACATCACCTATCATTTCATAAGTCGTAGCAGTTTCACCCCACATAAAGACATTATAAGTTTCCATATCTTTATTTACACACCACGCAATACAATGGTCTAATCCTTTAAATTCAATCATTGGAATATTGTCGTGGTAAAACTTGATAGTCAAAACCGTTAGTCCATCAGTAGGCAAAAGGTTCATAATGTTTCTATGGTTTTCTTTTGGTTTTCCCATATACCTATCCAATAACAACTTCGCAGCAATCCCAAAGTCCTCATTCTCTTTATCCCCTGCAACAATCTCAAATAATTCTTTCAAGGTCATTGTCGGTTTGCAGACTTCTTTGATTTCTACATCGTCATTTCTCAAAAGCCTAGCAGTCATCAAAGCATCTATAAAGTCTAATTCTGGATAGTCTTTCAAATATAATTCACACCCAGTCAAAGCAGTTGTAAGTTTAAACGCTTCTCTTGCTGCCGCTTCACAGAGTTCCACCTTGGTTTTTACTTCTTTCGGGTCAAACATTTTTATAGTATCAAACCCCAAATATGTTCTTTTCCGTTTGTCATTTTCAAGACCTTCGCCAGATGGTAAAAAGTTTATTGCTCTTCCTTCCATATAGTCAGTCCAAATATCCTTAGCACAACACAACAAACCAAACAGATTGAATACATTATCTACATTCAACCCACTACTTGCTTGTCTTAATGTTTTAGATATGATTTCTTTTTCGTGTGGTAATAAGTCTCTGGGTGTTTCTAATTTACAATGTGTTCCAGACCAACCCAGCGCTCCACGAATATTTGAATCCATAAGTGCAAAATCATTCATATTCTTATTTACATTTACCACATCATTTACAAAGTATTCACCATCAGCAATAGACTCAAACCTACTACTTTCTTTACTGCTTTGATAATTCTTGCCTACAACACATACCTTGATTTGACCTTTTGCAAATGCTTCTTGAAACCCCATAATACTTTCTTTACTAAAACAATACCAAGCACCACCCAATAACAACTGAGTCATCAAATTTTTCAAGTCTGTATAAAAATATGCTTTGCCTTGCCACCGGTTGCTATAATTTTCTTTAAACCACAACAGAGCCATTTTTTGTTCTTTCTTTGCCATAATTCTACTCCTTTTAGTTCTAGTTGATAAAGCCCCAAGATTCGTATTCTCTCAGGGCTTTTGTTTTCTTATTTCATTGCTTCTAAGATACAGTAGATAAACGATACAATATGCTTACACCCATACCCCACATTCTCTGCGTTCTTTTCTGGTCTATCTGTTTTCTTTTTATAGTTAGTCAGCACCTTATCAGTATATAAAGCACAACCACTATGCAGATTACCTTTCAAAGCACCACCTAAGATATAGTCAGTGCAATCACAATCTACCTTTATCTCTTTATCTAACAGGTCTTTTGGTCTTGGAAACTTACCTGCAACCAAATCGTCAGTAGTTAAACTTCCAGGCTCAACACCATAGAAAGCAACCTCAACCTTATACAGTTTATTATTACTTCCTTTTGCCAATGCCTTGAATGATAACTTCTTTTGTGATAAATCGTATCTAGGTGTCTCAAACTTATCAAACTCTATATCACTATTATCACGACCCATTGCTTTACTGTTATCTAAAAATTCTTTCGTTGTCATGTATTACTCCTTTTAGTTTTCGTTAGATGGTCGATATTTCTTGAACAGTTTTCCATTTATATTTACCTTTACAGGAACAAATATATCTGCATTTTTCATTTTCTTGTCCAATATAATATCAAAGACTTTGTTATATGCTTCCTCTGACACATAATGACGATTTGCTTTACTGTTATGTATCAATGAGCAATTAGTATTTCCATAGTGATTTACTTGTGCCTCATCAATATTATCTACTGTAAAACTTATCGTCACCCCACCTTTTTGATTTGTGACAGCCCTTGAATTTGTACGGACAATCAAAGCACGAATAACTTTTTTAGTGATTTCATTGATTTGCTCATCTTGCATAGACTTTACTTGATATTCTGGTAAAGCATCTAAATCTATACATTTGATATGAGGAACACAATAATCACCACAGTTTCTTGCTATTGTTCTAAACCGTTGTAATGCCATTTTTTCATCGACACCAAACCAATCCATATCTTGTTTAGAAAAGGTTTGTGTGCGATATTGATTTTCATGTCCTGGTTTGATTTGACGATATACTAAATAAAATTTCATGGTTATACCTCCTTTATTATTAATCTCTGTCAAACAACAATTTACATTTCACTTCGTTGTTTTCCTCTATAAAGTCCAAAGCCGCAGCACATTGGTCAAACACCCAAATATCTATGGACTCTTTTGTTGTATCACTACCCCAAGAATGATTGTAGTTTCCATAATGCACTCCCTCACCAAAACCATCTCTACCACCTGAAATACAATCACTTATAAGATAGCAACCATCACCAATAATACTTTCTAACTTTTTTGTTATCTTGTTGATTATTGGCATTAGGATTTTCTTTCGTTCAATGTCATATCCATCTTTACTTAAATCTCCACGCACATCAACCTCAATATAACAATGATACCCTAACACATCTAAGGTATCTGCAACTCGACAACTTGTTGATGTTGCTTCTCGTAATAATTGATAGGCTTCTAGTGTTAGTTTTTTTCCATCAAACAACAACTCATCTGTAATCTGCTCATTGTTGTCAAAATATTTTATAAGCACTTCTTTTATTGCTTGTTTAGTTGTCAATTTATCCATGACTTACTCCTTTGGTTTTTTATTGTTGATTCTGTCTTTTTTCCACAACTCGCAAAGACAGAAAGAAGCGAGCCAACAGCAGGACTCTAAGTTAGGAGTAGAATAGAAAACCTGCCTGTGGAAACCACTAAGCCTTGTTCTCTGCCACACCTAAACGATTCCTAATATATTGTTCCAAGAGTTCTTTATTGTTATCAACCAAGGACGCATAGTTTATTAGTTCTTGGTCTTTTACTCTTGACAATCCATAGTCTTTATTCCAGTCTGTATTTGATTTGATTTTATACAAGACACTTAACAAACCAGTCTTATCATTCATGTTCAAGATGTTTGGTGTTAGTTCGTATTTGTCCAGCATAGTAATCAGCAAATCAACTGGATAACAATCGACCTCAACTTTACGATTCATTTCACACCCACCATTCTCTTTATAGTATTTCCATAACAGTTCATATGATGGTTTGTTCATAAGTTCAACCAAGCGTGTATTCTTATTTGCATACTTGGCGAAGTCTCTTTGATTGAAATCTGACCGAAAGTATTTGATTGTTCTGACTGAGTATTTTTCCAACAATTCTTTTTTTGCTGTTGGCATCAATTCAAATCTACCTTTCCACAGTTCATAAATATTACAGACATTGTTTTCTACTAATCTTACAAACCAATCTAAATCTTTTATACCAACTTTTAGTTTTGATTCATACTTGATACTTGGGTCATAACAAAAGTCTATAATTCGCTGTAAGATTTTGTTAGATGTTTGTTTATTATATGCTCTGATTACATTTGTTTTATATTTAGCCATTATTACCATTATTTGTTCGGGCTTCAACTTATCTATCTGCTTTATATTAAACAATTCCAACAGATGCCCGGTGTTTGTGCTTATGATTGTTGTATATAATTTATTTGCATCAAACTTAGACACAAACAAATCTTTCAACATTGCTACTTCACTATAACTATTAAACATATTTTACTCCTATTAGTTATAAAGTCCTGAAAGGTGTTGATTCTCTCAGGACTTTGTTAGTTTATTTAGAACTCCAACCGCATGGTCTTTGCTCTTTTTACATTGGCAGGATTTTGAAAGTTATCGTTGCCAGTGATTCCCCATATTACAGGACAATAATCAAATTTCAAATCATCTATATAGTCATATCCATCAGTCATACAAATAAACACATCATATTTCTTTTTGTTTTCTTTTATCCAATTGAAACTAGATGCGATAGTTGTTCCACCAAAGGATGCTAACTTATAGTCTTTGATTTTATCCTGTGTTGGTTTTGTATAATTCACAAGGGTATCCTCATGAACTTGTGTTGAAAAGCACCAGATGTCAATATCAAATGATTTAAAACTGTGCATAATCTTTGCTATGTGCGCCAAGAATTCATGCACTTGTTCATCACCAACCGAACCTGATGTATCAATCGCAATACCTAACTTGATATGCGTATCTGTGCTAGTCCCTGGAAGTATATTACCCATACCCCAACTTCTACGAGATGGGCGCTTCCAAGAAAAGTCAGATTTGATAAACGCTTTCAGATAGTTAGATAAGAAACCACGCCAATCAAATGGAGGTTCCTGAAACAAGAAGTCAAATGCTCGTTCTAAGAAACTATCAACCTTACCTGCTTCTGTGCCACCCATTTGTTTTTGGACTGCTTGGACTTGGGCTTTGATTCTGCCTGTGTCTGTTTCATCCATACTATCTTGTCCGCCATGGTCATCAAACTGTTTTTGTCCTTTCGCTTGTTTTTCTAACCACTTGCCAACAGCACCCATCATTTCTTGTTCTACTTGTTCAGGTGTTTTGCCATCGTGGTCTTTCTTGAAGTCCTCTAACAGTTTTTCATATATCTGCTCACAAGTCATATTTTTATACTTTTCATCATACAAACCAAATTGTCCTTTCGGATTTTCTGGTGTGATTAACTTGTCGCTATGATACATTTCACCAATCGGCTTAGGCTTACCATATCTATCACTGTTATTTATAAGGTCTGAATTGATGGAGTAGTCAGTAGCATAATTCCATAACTGAGGATTCCTGCTACCCCGTCTTTCCATAGTCAGATTCAACAAATGCCCTACTTCATGACAGATTATAAACAAGATATTATCAACTGACAACTCATGCATATCCTCGTGTTCTACCATATACTTCCAGTTGAAATAAATACCTTTACCATCTGTCCAGGCTATTGAATCATGGCCAGACTCTACAAATTCAACCCCGACCCTTGCAGATATTGCCGCTAAGAAACTATGCTTTATCCACAGTTTTGTATTTACGGCTTCTTGCATTTCGTCTTTATTTGCTGTTATCATACTTATCTCCTTTTAGTTTAGGATTACACAAATGACGGCTGCGAGTATCAACAAAATAATCAACACACACAGCCTCATACCATTTACAGTATCTTTTACACTATCAGTTATTGGATGCATATTTACCTCCTTTATTATTCTTTATAAAACACATGCGCCCAAGATTTTTTATAATCACTGCTACATGTAAAGTGTGTATCATCTCTACTACAATGTTTCTTGGCTTCCTCCAAAGTCAAGCCAGTCATTATAGTTGTTTTTCTTTTATTTGGGTCACCCCATACTTTTACAATTTTATAAGTAGCCATATTTACCTCTTTTATTATTCTTGTTCATCATCATCTACACCAACACTTATCAATCCATTACCTAAGTCTTTTACATTCAACTTTTCAGATAATTCCTCAGCCTCCTGTTCTCTCATTTGTTTTTCCATTTCTTTTTCGTGGTATTCTTTCAACAAGTCCGCCACATTTTCATCAAACCATTTAGATTCATGCAGGTGATATTCATAGTTGTCCTCATTGTTTAGTAAGGATTCCATTTTATCACCAACCTCAACTTTACATAACAAATCATTTGCCATATTTAAACCTATCTGTTCGTGGTCATCATTCTCTTGCCACACCACCATCAAGGCTTTCATAATTGCTTTGATTTCTCTATCTGTAAATAATCTTGACATAACTATACTCCTTTATTTAGTTGGGCAGTTTTATATCTTACCCAGGATAGTTATGTTATTAGAAGTTAGTTTTAGATGTGCAGAATTTTGCGACTGCTTGAATATCTTTATGACTTACATACGATAACAGTTTATTATTCTGTGTGATATGTTTAGTCAAAATCGCTTGCCAATCTGCTCGTTTCAGTTTTTGGCAGGCTTCAAACAGATTATGCACAGCATCAGCCAATGCCTTACCCTCTTTTGATTCTTTATTTGGGCGACCATTTTCATCTTTTTCTGGTTCGTCCATCTGATTCAAAGTGGCGATACAACCTGTCAATGTTCCGAAAAATCCGTTTATATCACCATCATCACGAAAACCTTTACCTTTGAATAAGATTTCCTGTGGGTCTTGATATTTTTCAGAGTTTTTCAGATATTCCAACAACATATTTGATACTGCTCCACCAAAATACATACTTGCAAAATGGAACACTTCGTCATAACTTGCATCCGTATTCATACTATATAACTTGATGAATCGTGACCAAGAACGAGGTGTGCCAAATGTATATGAATTGTTGTTGTAGTTATCAGTATCAAACAACTTATCAGGATTACGCTTTACAAACGCAGCCACCATTTGTTTAATCTTATCTGGTGTGATGCCTGCGATAAAAGGTTTTTCCTGTGCCGGTGTTGTATCCAAGCCTAAGACATAATCAAACCACACATCCGCATTAGTTTTTACGAATATATGTCCGAATCTATCTTTGACTGGTGCTTGGATTTCAGTTGAGTAAGCATTGACCCCTGACTGATTACCTGCCGCAATGATACGATAACCATCTGGCAAGAAGTAATCACCAATTCGTCTTTCTTGCACCAACTGTTGAACAGCATTTTGCATAGCCGCAGGTGCATTATTCATTTCGTCAAAGTATAACAACCCGCGACCATTTGGATTTGTTGGTAAGCATTTAGGAATCGCCCAAGTTGTTTTAGTCATTTCCTTACCATACTCACTAATCTTTTCAGGCATAGGAATACCAATCAAGTCAGCAGGTTCCATAGATGATAAAGGATAGTAATAATATTCAAACTCTTTGTCCTCTTGTTTCATCTTGCTTACAAACTGTTCTACCGATTGAGTTTTGCCAATACCAGGGTCACCCCAAACAAACAAGTTCAAGTTAGCCCGATACATACAATCAATCAATCTTGGTAATTTGTTTAAGACTATCCCTGAATCCATCAGTTCTTTGATTTCACGAGATACATTTACTTCATTATTTTGATTTTTAGCCATATTCTACTCCTTTTTTAGTTTTTTGGCGTTGATTTTGTTAGGTTTTATTTATTGACTACCCTAACTTTTAGTCATTGGCTCTGAAACAGTAATCTTGACTTGCCAATCCTGCTTCATAAGCCCATCTTGTTGAGGTATTACTGTAAACTGCTCCACATAAATACCTCCCTAACTTTATATTGGTGACAGTTGAATAGGTTTTTACTCCCTCAACTTCAACCCCATCAATATTCAGTTTTACATACTTAGGACAACTTGGACTATACCGCATCCATTTTCCACCCAAGTCCTCAATACTTACATCATCATAACCACTCAACATTTTGTTATAGATGTAGTTTTGAACCTCTTGGAATGTCCGTCCTAAATATTTTCCACAAACCAAATCAGCCCATCCGTCTTTGCGACTTTCTATTTCAATTTCTGCTCCCCAATGGTCTTTTATATTAAACTTTGTCTTGCATCCACTAATAGTAAAGTCACCAGTATCAGGATTATAACTTTCAATGGTTCGTTTCAAGTAGTTTCTTTTATTTTTGATGTCATATACCCTAGTCAAAGGTAAATGCTTGTCAAAATAATACTCAACCACTTCTTTTATCGTGATGTCGTTCATTTTACACCTCCTTTATTAGTATCTATTGTTATCTTTATAGTCATCAATACCATACTTTTCTTTCATTTGTGCTTTCCACTCATTGATTTCCTTTTGTGTTGCTAGGCTAGTGATTTCATCAACAGGCTCATCATTAAGATTATCATAGACATACATTCGTTCAATACTTCCGTTCCAAGCGTCAGATAAATTACTCGCATATCTACTCAAATCTACTTTCAATTCCTTGCTGATGCCTACAAACCCACAAGTGCCACTATCCCATCTGCATCTTGTATCGTCACTCTTATTGAAAGCAAACGACACCATACCATGCACATAAGCACCCAAGGCATACGCTTCATATTTGTCTTTTCCATAGGTTTCGTCAAGGTATTTTTGAAATGATTCTATGTCTTGTTCCACATTTCCAGTTTCAGGCTCCCAACTTTCATCAGTAGCCAACCTTTCAAACCCCTCACGATTTTTACCTATCCA